CTAGAAAGAAATGAGTGGTGAGTGACCATTAGCAAGTTTGTTGGATTGACAGCTTTCAGCTCTGACAAGTCTTCAGGTAGTAATTCAAAGTCTGCTGAAGATAATACAGACTCTTGCAGACTTAGGAGGCTTAGAGTCTGGTGTTTATCTACAAAAGAGATACAGCTTGAATGATGCCTGTGTCAGCCTACTTCAGTTTTGTTGTTGTTTATTGATCAAACAGAACATCTCCAGAATGAGAACTGGATTATTTTCTAAGGACCATAGAATCTATGATAACTCTTCTGCAACTTCAAGCAGTAGTCCTTATGAATGTCAGTTTGTCTGATGACTGTAACAATATGATGCTCTTCCTCCAGAAGACAGAAGTACAGGGTAACGAACGTCACAGATGCAAACACAAGTGTCTTCAGTCAATTGACAAGTATTTTAAAATTTATCTCGGATTTTGACAGGTGTAGTCAATAGCTACAAAAACATTTCAGATGCAGGAAAGCATTTACCAGCTGGTAACATATGATAACAGCACAGTGTTAATCTGTGAGATGCTTTCAATCCACAGAAATTCACATCTCAGATGTGGAGTCAGTCAGCTAACCTAGCAGGAATTCTTTTCTAAAATGGTACTCTATACAGATAAGTATGTGATATGTTCCTCCTTTCCTTGAACATTGTATTCTACCAGAAAATTGGAAAAAATTACAATAACAGAGCTGAAGAAGTGAAAGCAATACATACCTTATAGATTACTTCATTTCTTCACTCAGCAGCCATTCATTGTCCACAGTCATGCAAAATGATACAGAGGATACTAATACTGCATTCATGATGTGGTGATTTTATGGAAGGATTATGCATTTTGATTATTGCTTATTGCAGTTCCATCTACATAGCATTGGGAATGTAGATAGGAATATTAAAAAATCACACAACACAAAAACTGACTTATGAAAGTCTTTAATTAGACTGATGAACTTTCACTATATTGTTTCAACTTCAATATTGAGGAACAGACTGAATAATCACAACATTTAAAAAAATCACAACAAGTAAAAAGAAAAAATCATTAACATATTTCCAAGTGTAAAACTTCCTAGATTTCATTCAAACCATTGGCACTGGAAAGAAACTGTGTTTTGCCACCAAGAAGTTATTCTTTATCCCCTAGATTAGGTAGCAAACATCTTATATTTAGCTTGTTACTGATATGTGCAGGGGGTCTCCAGTTTCAAGGTTATTTTTTTCTAAACAGTTATCTGCTTCTTCATACAGCTGATTAGTCAACCCAAATTTATTCAAATAAAAGTGAAATAAAATCAGGTGTTCTTTGCAAACAGTACAAGGGTATAGTACAATTGTTGAGCCTGACTGCGCAGCCAGAGGATGCAGAGTCCCTTGAAGATCTATGTCTGATTAGTATGAGATTCCCCAGTATGTAGAACATCTCTCCTACCCCACTTAGACACTTACTAATAGCCCTTCCATCTGAATTGACCTCAATAGCAAGAATCTTTGGGTTTTTTAAGAGTGTCTTTCTGGGGCTGTCCTTTCAGACTAGTAAAAAGACAAGGCTATGTAACATTATTCTGATTATTCTCCAGCTGACTACCATCTGTTTTTCAGTTAATGAGTTCTCTATCCTCCTAATTCCCCTCTGAATTTTTCCCTACTTCATGCCAGTACATATAAAACATTGGATTATACATTTTTTACATTCTAAATTGGAATTCAGAAATGAAATAATTTGCAAAAAAATGTCCTCTCCAAAGAAAATACAGGAAAATTCTCTTTCTAATTTTAAAACTGCTTAAATGAACTTTCTAATATAGAGACATGAAACAACCAGTTTGAAATGTGAGTGGGATTTATAGATTTTGTGAGGAAACCTTCCAAAGAGCATTCATACATCTACTGGTGTTATTTAGTGCCCCACAGGATACTAACCACAGTCCTCTGGTTCAGACAGCAAACAAACTACCTGATCTTGTGTAGTTGTACCTCACCCTTCCACTGCACTAGGTTTAAAGTGCAGATGCACCCTTTTTGGAACTACATTCAAAAAACTGGATTCAACAGTTTCCATACAACACTAAGTTTGACCCTGAAGATTCACATCAAATTTTTACTGTTACACCTTTGTGAACTTTGCCTTGGATTTCAACAGCAACAAAATAGTTACTTCCTGCAAGTGAGTGCCAAATATGAAGCTAATGTAGTAGCATCCTTATGTACATGACTGTGTATAACTGCTGACTATTACTGCATTTCATAGTTAAATACAGTGATGTATTTTTCATAGTAAAATACAGTGTTTTGATGAGATCTGAAAATGAATCAGCTTTCCTGGCATAAGATCCCTACTACATCTAATTTTTTTCTGTTGCTCTTGTATCCTGCCTTCAGGCAGAAAAACACTCTCTGTCCCCACCTAAGGAGCCTGTTCAGGGAAGGCTACCGAAGAGAAGATACACATATGGCAGAATGCACTAAACATATTGCCTCTGTGATCAGAATTTAACACAGTTAATCTGACAAATTTGGTTACTTTTGCTATCATGAAGGACACTTCTTTTTTCTGTTCTACTCTCACTAGAAAAAAGTACAGACCCAGATTTTTAGAGTGTTTAACCCTTTTTCACTCCCTAAGTAATGACACTTGAAGTTGAAATACTAAAACTGAATCTTTCAGAATTGACCAAAGGTTCTAGGCTTTTACTAGTGGTTTGGGGAAATACTGAATGCAAAGCACTGGAAAATTTCAATTTTCAATTGCCAGGATTTCACAGGGGCTGTATTGAAGCACAGACCTGGGACACTTTACCTCTGTTGAAAGAACTCTGTGTTCTAAAACAGCTCCAACATAGTTGTTCTTAAAAAAACTTTGTTCTCCTAAAGGATGGAAGGAATTATAAATTGCAACAATAGGCTTGAAGCACAAAAGTTAGGTGAGGTATTAGAAAGACACCTTTGAGGAGATCTCAAATTGATATGTGGCTACATTGTGCATTCTTTGACCTGCTCTTGCAAACAAATGTATAATGTATATGCACCCATCCATGGTGCAGTACGAAAAAACATTAAGCATAAACACTTGTGTGTACCTGACACAAGGCTAATTCATGCAACTGTTCTGAATGGAAAAGAAGTCATGATTTAAACACCAGTGAAAGCTGAATCTCCTTGTCTGGTAAAGACACAGAGGGTCTGGAGGTCTAACACTGACAGGACCACTAAATTAACAGTAAAGCTTATTGATGAAAGTTTGCCAGAGAGCAGTAAAAGTCACTTCTAGATCCATTCTCTGTGTTGTTTCCAGACATAAAAGGGCAGATACCACCAGAGAAATAACAAACTCCCCGAGAGCAGTCCCAGTAGGGATTGTGTGTTCAGGCTGACTGCAGAGTAAAAATGGGTTCAGCACAAGCTGCTTTGCAGATGATGCCCCACTCTGTGTGTTAAGAATCTGCCAAAAAAACACCTCTAGTCTACATCTTAGGAAACTGCTCTATGTGTTTTAATACAACTAATTTTGGAAACTTAGACAGAAACCTTTCAGGACTCAAAAATCTTCATGTCAGAACTGCATTGTCTAGCAATATGGCTTTACTGGTAATGTGTTGAGACTCAAGATTCTGTGTGCTGATTGTGTTCTGCAAATAAATAGATCAGTTCCTACATGCAAATGAAAATCGAGTTGCCTTGGTGGCCTGACAGTCACCCATCTCTAACCCACCACAAAATTCCAAGCCTGTGCTGCAAAAACTGACAATTTAGTTGGATCATCAAATGGATGATGAAGTGTCCAATTCTACCACCCTGTCCAAAAGCAGGAGTTCATTCTGTGAACAGTCTGGTACGTAGCAGCAGAAATGCTGAGAGGGGGTCATAGTAGCTGATACTCTTCTAATCACAACACAATAAATAGTTACTAAAGTCAGGACTGTAGAGAGGTTGGATCAGGAACTGCCTGTGGAAGAGCAGGATATTTCTGCAGAATGAAGATCAAGAATACAAAACCAGTCCTGAGAGACAAGACAGAGTCTCCTGAGAGAGACTCTGAGCACTCTGAGCACACTCTCCTCCTGCTTGTTCCATTCCTGGCAGAAAGGACTGGTTAGTGCTCAGGAGAACAAACTGCACACTGACTAAAACTTCCAACTGTCTGTTAAAGACTTTGCAATGATCAGCTTGCATGACTGCAAAAAATACTATTTGTGAAAACAGAAATTTAAAAAAAGTAACACAAAATTTCCCTGTGTAACACTGATCTATGTATGACATTTCTTCTTAAAAGAAGATAAACTCTACGACAACACTACGACAAATGCTATTCCAAAAATAATTTTTATATATCTTAGACACCTTCTCTCAATGTACAAATCACTGTTTTACTTCAAACACTATATACAACCTGCCACCCATGTTTTAGGGCCAAGCAGTATGTGGCAATAGACATTTATCCCACAAGCAGAGCTCCCCTACAGCTGCATGCATTATTTGGAAGATAACACTGAGAAATGGGATTTTGATCCAGAGGTTTTTTAAACTAGTAAGAACAGAAAGAAACTCTCACCTCTGGTCGTGGCTTAGAGTCACACCCCAAGCTGTGGTATTCTGAAGCCAAATTCAGACTAGAAGCTGTCTCTGAAAAGCAACATGATTATTCCTTCCTGTTCTAAGGTTAGCACGGGTACTGCAAGTTCTAGTGGCCATCAGAAGAGACCACATGAGCTGAACAAAAATAAAGTCCTAGTACCTCTCTGGCCTGGGCATGTTATCTACATAAAAATCTTAAAGCTTCAGTCATGCTATCTTCGATCAAATAAGCAGTAGATTTCTACTGCAAAACCATGGTGTTTGGAAAAGGTCACTTTATTAAAAAAACCACAAACAATTAACAAATGCCTATTTTTAAAATGGCCAAATTAATTCATTTCCATTTCATTCTCTAACTAGCAGAAAAGAAAGGGCAAAAATATAAAGAAAGAGATTTCAGAGGCCATACTAATATATTTCTTTAACATCAAATTGTCACATGTTCAATAAAAAACTTTAGTGGATCATGGTGGATTAGCCTAGAAATATTACCTAAAGGTGTAGTTTGTTAAGAGATCTTACCTCAGCAAAATGAATTAGAGGGATGAAATTGCTTGTAAATATCACATTTAAACCATATTTTTTTAATATATCTTTATATATTGTGGGAAGTTTTCACTCCCATTAAACTTTGCTTTAATACAGACGTTCTGGATTTTTTACGCTAAGAATGGAATAACGCATGTGACTCAGATCTGCATGTCTTTATCTCAAGTTAGATATTCACCATTCCATTTATCACTAGAGTTTGCTGTCTTATCTTGAAAAACCCCATATAACTTTTGACAGAGAATATGTAATCCTAGAAAAAATGGAAAAACTTGACCTCTTCCCATATATATAGATATATATTTGCAGATCCGTACAAATCTAGGTTCCCAGCAGTCTGATGCTTTGCTCTCTTATGCGAGTGATTGCTCACAACCCTGTTAAAGGCAGCACACAGCTACCCAGTAGCCTGTTTTCTCATGATGGGTCTGATCTTCAGGGATGCTGAGCACACATGAGCACACACCAAGATCCTCATCTGCTTTCCTTGGAAACAGAAAGCAAAAGATTCTATTCCTCATCATGTTCATCACCAGTATTTTAGCTGTTGGCTTCAGAGGTTGTGAAGTAAGATTTCCCAGTACCATCAAAGACCTGCTCTGTACTCTGCAGAATAAGGTCCTACAGTGACTAAGCTTGCAGGAGGCAAGCTGCTGACAACAGAGTGCTTTTATGTGGAAGTGGGAGCTGAATATGTCAGAGAGAGGGTCTGTCTTGTGGAATTCCTTTGCTCAGCGAATAAAACTTGGGCTGGACAGAGTGCAAGGGTTTATTTACTACCACAGTACTCTTCCTGCATGCCTGAGCAGCAAAGCTGCTAGTAACCACCTATTGAGACGCTTTACCTGACTCAAACTAGCTAGTGTTTTTTGAATGTATCCTAATAGCATCCTGATGCTAAAGTGTGACCAAAGCTTTAGATCTTGTTTGGTCTGAAAGAAATCAAACTATCCAATGTAAAAAATTTTGTTTCCTCCTTCTGGAAAGCTTTTCAGAGACAGGCCGACTGTTACTACTTGAAGTAAGTTTCTAAACAGACAAACAAACACACAAGTGTATGCATAATATTTACATTCAGTATCCAGACAATTACGTGGGCAGGGAAAGCTCATTTCAGTGCAAAATTCTTTTGCACTTTCTACACAACATCTGAGGTTGCTACAAAAGAATGCCTGTTTTTCTTGTTTCCTATTGTGGTAATTCAAAACATTTATCTGGTACAATTTATGGTTGACAAAAACCAGCTAAGTAGAGACAGTTAGTAAGACTTGCATCACACAGGAACTTTTTGAAGCTGTGAGAGTTTAGTTATAGGAACTGGGGCTTTGTGAGGTGCTAACTCTGTGCTTTAGCAACCTAAGACCTTACCCCTTGGAGCAGCTGCTTAGTATGTACATTGTGTTACACCATGTCTCTGATACCTAGTTAGTAGAGGTCAGTTAAGATTTTTATACACAGCATGGAAAATGCAATTTACTGTTGGACAGAATAGCTGGGATTTGTGTTTCTGCATGTTAACTGCAGGCTCAGATTTTGAATGAGCCAGGTTAATCCTCATTACTTGCTTCATATTTTCTTGCTACATATCCACAAGCTGTGAGCAAAAATGTGTCAGTCAGGTCCTCTCTTCCCTCCCCACAGAAAAGCATGGTTTTGAGACCTCTGACTGGACTGTAACCATGCATCACCCATACAGAAACATCTGGCATTTTAGAAAAGGCACAAGAAAATGGCATTTTCAGAAGGGTAAGATCCTGCTCTGCACATAATTCATAGAAGTCTTTCCCTAAGCAACTTTTGAGGTACTGAAATACATTTTAAAGGCCTAAGTCCACTGACATCTGCTTCTAAGTCTGTGTGAGAACTGTGTCATGATCATGTTGTAATCTCCTTGTCAAGTATGCCTATAAAATCCCAAAGTGTTAGAAACATTCCAGTGAAGTCAAGACCAGTGGAGAATTAAGCTAACACATCTGTGTTGCATGCTATTGATGATGGATTAGCCTTTGAAAAGTCCTCTGGGTCTATCTGGTTCCTAGGAGACTTTTAGAAGAGCCCACAGGGTCAGCACATTGATTTCTTGATACAGAGGAAAATAAAATCTTGTCAGGAAGAAGAAGGGGGACAAATCACTTCTACACTCCCTGACATCAGCCATCTACTGAAGTGCATGTTGACATCTCTCAATCCCTCCCAAAATGAAGTGACAGTATTTCAAAGATTCATTCAGCTATAGAGCACCACATTCTTTCCCACAGACAGCTTGAGTCTGATTCAGCTCTTGATCCCAGCTGACAGCCACTGCCCTCCTGCCAGGCTGCCTACAGGCTTCCTACAGTAGGCAGCAGAAAAACAGAAGGGAGAGAAAGGGAGAAAATAAAATTAAAATGTAATTTTTTTTTCCCCCAAAATGAAGAATGGAATTCTTTAACTCTAAACATGCTTGTTTACTTACAGAAAGAGTATTTCAGGCACAAAAGGTTTGAGTCAGTCACATACCAGGTTAAATTGAAATAGTATCAGGATTGTCCCATGCAGTGTAGTCAGCTATATTATCCCCTATCAAGAAGTTGAAGCTGCAGTTTTTGTATACACACATATATGTAAAGTATATGTCTTTCACACTATGCTTTCCTGGTCTGAGTTGATTCCGGTAGGGTTTATGTAACAACAGTATCTGTCATAAGGGCTGTTGTCCTTGTAAGAACAGACAATGATACTGTCTTTAGGTGCCACAAAAATGTTGTCTTCAATTTCAGGGCAAGCAGTGCTGTCCCTGCTGGGAGAAGAGCTCTTCTTCTCCAAGGCACTGTATGTGGAGCCATCTCCCACACACAGAGTCACCGGCATCTGTGGGTAAGGGGTCTCCAGGTATTTCAGCATGTCCTCCTGTTCCACTTTACTGATGAGGCTGCTGCATTCTCCCATGGTGGCAGCGGCGGTGGTGCAGACGAACACGGAATTCTCCTCACCCCGTAGCACTCTCCTGTCTCTCTGGTATGCTTTCTTGGCCAGTTGGTCACAACTCCCCTTGCCAGACTCCAGGTCTGAGGGGGTCCTCAGCAGCTCCATGACATCTCGGTCCTTCACTCGCTTACAACACGGACGCATGTCCTCGGGCCATTTGGTGCAGCCGTCGGTCTTTCTGGTGAGGGCAATAGCGGCGATGCCCGGCAGGCAGATGGCTGGCCCGATGGCCAGCAGCGGGATATCTCCCAGGGTCTCTCCCTTCATGCCAGACACGGTGAACATGAAGCCGAACACTAGGAAGACGCTGACCAGAGCCACCACCAGCCCCGTCCGGGGGTTGATGTCGTCGGGTCTCAGGGTCCGCGCCATCCTGCCGCTGAGCGCGGGGACACTTCCCTCCACCGGAGCGCCCCTCGGGACAGGGGACAGATGTGTCCCGGTAAGCGACTCAAGTTTCCCAGACACTGAAGCGCGGAGAACTCCGACTGCCGGCACCACTCGCCTTCCCGTCGGTGAAGCCGCAGACGGAGGGCGGGCCGGAGCCGGGAGCCGTTCTGCCTCCTCCCTCCCTCCCTCCCTCGCTCTTCGGAGCCGCCTTGAGCTGCGCTGAGGCGGGAGCGGCCCTCCCTCCTCCGGCAGCCCCGCCGCGCCCTCCCACGAGTGGGCTCGGGGGGTTCAAACCCCGGCAAAGGGCGGGAGAAGAGACACCCAGGCGGTTTTAAGCAGTCGGCGGGCGGGGAGCAAGCGGCCGCGAAGGAATACCTGCCCTGACGCCTCCTCCTCATCCTCCTCCTCCCCCTCCTTGTCCTCCTCCTCTGGCCCCGCCGGAGCCCCGCAGCAGCCGTGAGTACGCGCACGGCCCCCGATGCCGCGGCGCGGGTGCTGCGGGTTGATACCGGGGGGTCGGCGGAGTTCCCCCACTTGATGGCCACCACTGCTTGGCCGGCCCTGCCGCCACTCCGGGCAGTCTTTCTCTCACGAGTGGACCCCCGACTGGCTTCCTTCCCGGGGGAGTCGGCCTGCGCATCCTGCGTACGGACCTCCGCCCCGAAAGTCCCTGTCTCCGCGGGGACAGGGCTTGCGGACTAAATCCTCCCCAGGGCAGGCAGCAGTCTTGCCCCGAGTCCTTTCCTCAAGGTACAAGTGGAGAGTAAGGCTTCAGGAGATGCTGTGCTGCAGCTGGATTTCACCTCGAAGGAGGCCCTTAGGGAAAAAGCCTCTCCCGGCGTTATTCCCTCCCCAAGACCCCAGAGTGAACTTAGATGCCGGGATGCATCTCGCAGGGGTTTCCTTGGTTTCAAAGGTGTGCCGGCTGTGATGGTGATGTTCCATTCCTGTGTTTTGATGCACTTGGGTGATGGCAAAGTAAGCACCTCGAGGTGAATAAGTATAGGAAAGAATCTGAAATGTGTGGGAATATGGAAATGCAGCAGCATGATCGGGAAGGTTGCCAGTGAAATAAAGGAGTAAATGCTTCCACCTGGGGAGTGATACTGGGAGATGAAAAGGAATGATACCAAAGAGCTTTCAAGAAAATTAAGATAATAGAAAAGGACACACTGAACTAAATTGTGAAACCATGATTTCTCTTAAGTTTTTCCATTAACATAATTCCTTTTCCTCATACTTCCAATTTGGAAAGCTCAGAAAAGCCAATTTAGGAAATGCACAAATGCTCCTCAACTTTAAGTCATGAAACAACCTGGATCTTATTTACCCTCCCTACAGTACAACATGAACAGAGCACATCTGGGTTGTAGGTTTCTAAACTGCCTGAGAATACCCTTTCATTAATGGGAACAGCTCCTGCCTTACAGGACACTTTCTTCATAAATGGGATGTCAAGTTATAGCCTTTGCTGTTTAATTTGAAGGATGAGTAAGTGGAAGTAGAAGTATACACTGGGAAGAGTTATTAAGTCAGTGGCAGTGACCTGGGTTTGAGATTAAAAGTTTGTAATGGACCATGATCGTTGTTTCAACTTGTACTCCAGAAGGTTGTCCAGTAAAATCCGCACTGAACCTCCCACCTGTTGCCGCATGGTCTGAAATAGGAATAATTTGGACTTTGTTAGAAATACTCTTCTTGACTGAAAGACTTAAAAATCAAAACCTTTCAGTTAGATTTCAGCACAAGTTAACTTCTACTTTTGCCACTGTGCAGGATTTAGCCATACAAGAAATGACAGTAGTGTCTTGGCTCCTGTTTTCCAGAGTGAGAATTTGCTTTTTGTTTCCATCTGCTGTTATTCAGATACACAGCTTTTATGTCTTCACACTGGAATTAATAATGCCTTTTTTTACCCGTCTGCTGAATTCTGTAGGAAAGGAAGTGATTAACCTTCAGCCAGTCTGTCCCACATAAATAAAGTATTGTAAAGTGTAAGTTATGAGCACTGTTGTGTTGATAACTAATGCCATGAAAGTCACCATTCCCTGCTCCCTGACCTTCTTTCACCTCCCTTATTGCATTTGAATAGTCTTTCAAAAAATTGGAGATTGGTCTTTAGTTGAAAAAAACTCTGATGTTTGGAAGGAACAATTACCTGAAATTGTATTCATCAACAGTCCTTCAGAAAAAGAAAAAGTGCATCACTATATGACACAGAATTGTAAATATTAGTGGCATCAGTGGAGAGGAAAAATACCTTAAGAGCTGCAGTACATGTCAGAATATCTAAGAGGAATAAAAATGGCCCTTCAAATTTAAGTGACAGGCTTACTGAGATGGAAGAAAGAACATCTACTTTGAAACAGAAAGCTATTAGTGGACAGAAGAATACGGAAAATGTCAGGATAAAGGTGGAACTAAATGCCTTCAATTTGTCCCTTTGTGAGTGTTTTCAAAACAAGATGTTTTCTTCCTGGGAGAGGGGTTAGGAGAGGGAAAACAAACACCCTGTTCCAGGAAAGCATGCTACAATTGTTAAAATGGTCTTGCAAATCTAGAAATCAAGAGATCAGCAAGTATCACTTAACATAACTGAGTAACAATACAAATAGTTGAATTTTCTGTCCTGTTAATAACACAACCTCTTTTGAGGTGAAGCATGTTTCTGTTCTGGTGCTGTACAGAAAAATTAGGTACTCAACAACTTTTTTGCCTCAGTCTGCCATGGCAACCTCTCTTCCCACACTTCTCAAGTGGATGTACTGCAAGATGGGGACTGGGGCCTAAAAATGGTTCCCAGTGTAATAGATCAGGTTTGTGATCACCTGAGGAACCTGAACACACCAGTTTATGGGATCCAGTGAGATGCTGTGCTGGTTTTGGCTGGTTTAGAGTTAATTTTCTTCACAGTGTCTAGTATGGGGCTGTGTTTTGTATCTATGCTGAACACAGGGGTGACAACATAAAGTAGTTTCTGTTATTGCTGGGAAGGGGTTACACAGACTCAAGACCTTTTCTGCTTTTCCTACTGCCACACTGGTAAGGAAATTGGGGGTGTGTGGGAGACTGGGTGTCAGAGACTGAAATGGTTAATGATTTATGCATTCTAGGAGACTTTTGCAGGCTTTTGACTTGCATGATACCTCTGATGAGCAGTCGGGCCCCTCCCTCCCTCCAGTGCTGAAGGTGTGAAGCCCTGAAAAGGCAAGAAGCCGAGCTCGCAGGCTTTTGACTGTTGATACATCTGATGAGCAATCAGGCCCCTCCCTCCCTAAAGGCGGGAACCGGGCGAGACACAAAAAAAACTCAGCACAGACCCAGGAGTTGTTGGAGGCTCGAGGCATGGCCCGTGATATAATAACTCATAACTTCTTAGAGTATGGGGGCTTCCCCCCTTCACCCCCAGCAGATCAAGGCCACCACTTCAACTGACAGACATGGAAGCATCGCTGGACCCCGTGGGCGGTGACTATATACATCTGTCCACTCTGAGCTTTTCTTTCCCTTACTCTCCCTTGCTCTTATCCTGCCTTTCTCTCCCCTATGCATTTTCTTTCCCTCCCCAAAGGTTATCTCTGTGTCACATTGTTGTATGACAGCACCCAAACTGCTAGCATGCCTGTTAATACAGAATTGTTAAAATAAATCTCGTCAATATATGTTTTCAAACACCGATTATTTAGTGTCGTTTCGCTTTAATCCACCCCAAAGGAATTATTGATAAAACCTGGGTTACCCCCTCCACCCCCTTTTTCCTGGGGCGGGACGTAACACTGGGAGCAGACACAGCCAGGACAGGTGACCCAAATTGATCAAAGGGATATTCCAGACCACACAACATTATGCTGAGTATATAAAGTGAGGGAAAGAAGGAGGATGGAAGGGACATTTGGAATGATAATGTTTGTCTTCCCAAGTCATCCCTTATGCGTGATGAGGTCCTGCTCTGCTGAAGGTGGCTGAACACCCACCTGTCCATAGGAAGCAGTGAAAGAATTCCTCATTTTGTTTGCAAAAGCCTGGCTTTTGCTTTCCCCTTTATCTCAATCCAAAAGTTTTCTGAGTTTTACCCTTCTGATTCTCTGCCCAGTACGAATGGTGAGGGAGTGAGTGAGCAGCTACATGGGGCTTGGCTACTTGCCGGGATTAAACCACAACAGATGCATCCCAGACTCCCAAGGGAATTGGCTGATGTAGTTGCCAAGCCACTCTCTATGGTATTTGAAAAGTGCTGGCAGTCAGATGAATTCCCAGGTAATTTGAAAAGGGGAAATATTGGACCGATCTTTTAAAAAGGTAGGAAAGAGGACACTGGAAACTACTGACCTTTCAGCCTTCCTGGGTTGACATTTCCTATTAAAAGCTACACAATGCTGCAAAAAGAAATAGACCAAACTCACCCCTGTGCCTGGGAAGATTATGGAACAGATCCTCTTAGAAGCTCTGCTAAGGCACATGGAGGATAGGGAGGTGATTTGTGACATAAAACCAGCATGGCTTCACCAAGGACAAGTCCTGCCTGACCAACCAGGTGGCCTTCTATGATGGAGTGACTACATCAGTGGACAAGGGAATGACTAGGGATGTCATCTATCTAGATTTCTGTAAGGTGTTTGACATGGTCTCTAACAACATCCTCCTCTCTAAACTGGAGAGAGAAGGATTTGACTGGGGAGCTGTTCAGTGAATAAGGAATTTTTTGGACAATCAAATCCAGAGGGTAGTGGTCAACAGCTCAGTGTTCATATGGAGATTGGTAATAGGTAGTGTTCCTCAGGGATCTGCACTGGGACAAGTGCTGTGTAACTCACCCTCACTGCTGGAGAACCATCAGCAGATTTGCAGTCAACCTGTTTTGAGTGGTTTGAGGGGTGCAATTGATGTGTCTGAGGGATGAGATGCCATCCAGAGAGACCTGGACAAGATCAAGAAGTGTGCCCACAGGGATCTCAAGTGGTTTAAAAAGACCAAGTGCAAGATGTTGCACCTGGGTCAGAGCAACCCCCAGTATCAATACAGATTGGGGGATGAATGGAACAAGAGCAGCCCTACCGAGAAGGACTTGGGGGTGCTGGTGGATGAGAGGCTGGACAGGATCCAGCAATGTGAGCTTGCAGCCCAGAAAGCAAATTCTATCCTGGGCTGCATCAAAAGCAG